TAGTTAAGAATTTCCACAAACAGTGGCTATCAACAGCACATTAATTCTGATCATATTTTGGCATGGAAAAGTAAAGTTACATGACGAAGTATAATATTTCTCAAATTATATGGAGGTTAAGAAATCTGTTCCTTTGTTATCACCACCAAGCCACAATGTAAGAATACAAAACAAACAAACAAACACATAATTGCCTTGCAGGGACTTTTGAAAGCTGAATTGAATCTCCATTCCTTTGTTAAGATTTAACTGAAGAGCCTATACAGCAGCTCTAACAAACATTCTTTGTAGTAATTTGGGGAATAAATAGGAAAATGTAGACAGATGAGAAATTATACATGTATATTGGCAAATAGAAGGAGCCATGGTGATATCATAAACTGCCTAAAGCTGAGTATATTACCCGTGTTTCATTATGAAGATTTTTATTTTACCTCATGGCAATTACATTGATTGCAGTTGTCTACACAGCCAATTGCTGTTAATGCTATTTAAGAGGATTATTTTCTTCCTGTTAAATTCCTCCTTTCTGCTCCTTTTCCTTTTGCAGGGCGGCTTTTGGTGTTGTGTGTTGTCTGGTGCTCTGGAATTTGGTGCTAAAACATAGTTTCTGAATTTGGAATAATCAAGGCAGCATCTGCATCGGCACCACTTTCCATTTGATTTCCTTTCTAGCCTTTGCAGACTGCCAGAAATAGTGCAAATTGAGTCCACTTTAACTGCCCTGACTCAGTGCTAGGGAATCATGGGAACTGTAGTTTATTGTGGTACCAGATCTCTCTGACAGAGAAGGCTCGATGTCTCAGAAAAAAAATACAATTCCCATGATTCCCTAACACTGAGCCAGGGCAGTTAAAGTGGACTCAATTTGCCCTATTTCTAGTAGTCTGCAAAGGCCTTTAGTTACAGTGATCAAGCCAGAGTTAGAAGTTCACCAGAAGGCACACAAAGTACAAGGCAGCTGGAACTCAGAGCAATAGCCAGTAAATAACAGTACAAATCTGTACCTATCTACTCATTATTAAAACTCACTGAGGTCAGGGTGGTTTGGGTCTGGGTAAGCTTGAATAGAATTAGAGTCTAACAGACTTCTACACTGGGCACTTAACAGTATATATAAAGCAATGTATTTTCTGAGATGGATAGAAAATGCTGAGGCAGTAGTACAGTTTGAAGAGTAAACTGAATAATACAAATATCCATGGTTATGGAATATCCCGTTCCCATGTAGGCCATGGTTATACATTGAAAAATATCAACTGATATTATGTACTCTATTGCCATTTTTTGAAATATCATCTGATGACTCTCGAAGGCAAGCATGTACCTAAATGTATTTACATATAGATAGTAAAGATTTGGTTAAAATGTGATGTTTTTACATAAAATTTAAAAGGCTTGCTGGCTCACCATCTGTGTTGGTCTCATCTAATGCCTTGACCCCAAGTTGAGCACAGCCTATTGCCAGTATCTTTTGGAAGTTCTCTAAATATACAATAAATTTAGTAATATAAACATTACTATTTTGTCTGTAATCAAAAATGTATTTTTTTTTAAAAAAATTGAAATTTTGAAATTTTAATTTTAGAGAATTCTTGGCCCTCTTCTTTCTCTTCTCCCTGAAGTTCACACCAGTCTTTCCATCTCTTAAAGCATTTTAAAGGGAAATAGATGAATACCACAGCCCCTTTCTGCTAAAATGTATGTGTTTGGGGAGCACTGATATCACCCTTCTTAAGGTGTCACCTGGTGCGGTCCGCACCTCCTAGTGACACCACTGTCTATGAGATTCCCAGCAGTCAGGTATATCACTCACACCTGTCTGTGATTGTTTTGCTTATTTAATTCAGGTTGCTTTCTGACCTATCATTCTACCAAAAAACACTGGGCGTCATATTATAAGCATCTATAATGCTTCTGAAATTTCAAACTACAGTTTGAGTATCCCTTAACCAGAAATCCAAAATACTCCAAAATCCAAAATTGCCTGTATGGATGGCTGAGATAGTGATACCTTTGCTTTCTGATGCTTCAGTGTACACAAATTTTGTTTCATGTACAAAATTATTAAAAATAAATTTACTTTCAGGCTATGTTTATAAGCTATGTATGGAACATAAATGAATTTCATGTTTAGAGTTGAGTTTCATCTCTAAGGTATCTCATTATGTATATGCAAATATTCCAAAATCCAAACCACTTCTGATCCCAAGCATTTCAGATAAGGGAGTCTTAACCTGTATTAAGCATCTCAAGATCAAATAATAAAATTGTGTAATAGTTATTTAGGACAACAGTACATTACTAAAGGAACCTTATAACAAGCCAAGGGCTATAAAAGTCCATAGATCTGTGCAATATATTTTTAGACTGTTTCTGTATAGGTTTGCTAAGGACCTGAACAGACTGCCAGAAATAATCCAGCTTGAGACCACTTTAACTGCCCTGACTCAGTGCAAGGGAATTATGGGAAGTGTAATTTATTGGGGCACCAGAGCTCTCTGACAGAAAAGGCTCAATGTCTCAGAAAAAAATGTCAGTTCCCATAATTCCCTAGCATTGACAGCTGCCTGCCACTATTTGTGCAGTCTCAGGCAGGCAGTGAGGTTTGCCAAATGCCTGGTTTCCTATATAGGTTGGTGCTCTGCATTTGGCTTGCTGGCTCACCATCTGTGTTGGTCTCATCTAATGCCTTGACCCCAAGTTGAGCACAGCCTATTGCCAGTATCTTTTGGAAGTTCTCTAAATATACAATAAATTTAGTAATATAAACATTACTATTTTGTCTGGAATTAAAAATGAAAAAAAATATTCATTTGAGTGTGGCCTATGGGTGGAAGAGGATGAGAAACAACCAGTTGACCTTTGAATCAGAAGAAACATCAGTTAAGTTTCCATGATGATACTGATATACAAGAATATCAAGAACATTGAACGAGGATGCATAATTTAGCTTGAAAGGGAGGCAGAAAATAGATGCTAAGTGTTCCAATATGTATTACATTCTGGGAACAAAAGACAGCTCAGCTTTGAAGACAACACCTTTTCTACCTTGTTTACTGGCAGAATGACTGCAAGACTAACAAAGTCCTAATTCAGTTTTTTTTTTTACAGACCATATTTTAACAGCTGTGATCTGCTCCATAATCCTTTCCTCTACCTGTGTGAGTTGCTGAATCCAAAAATAACAGCTTGATTGTATTAAATCTGCAAGACTAGGCTCTCCTGTTAGGCTTAGAGAAGCAGTGGTCCAAGGTGATAGATATAAACAGGAGGGAGAACTATGGCAAATCGGTGGAGGACAGAGTTCGGTGTATGTTTTTGCCTGTTGTATGTCCTTTAGGCACATATGGACATAAGAGCCAAGGTGGATCAAGCTATGACATATTTTGGCAGTCTGTTTACATAGAAACAAGTCAGTTGCCTATGGGAAGCCTGCTAGTAGGACTTGAATAAAATCCAGCCAATAGTCCTTTTATTTATATGGGAAATGTAAGAACGCGTACCTTGCCCTTTGCATGAAGCAACAAAAGTGGCTTCTGCTTTGTTCAGATATTTTGTCCAAATGGTTATCTGTTTGGCATGGCATTCTAGTCCTCTCAGCTTCTTCAGATTAAATTATTCTCCAGTTCCTCTATCTTGTTATTAGCTGCTGTTAACTTCAACTTATGGTAACCCTGTGAATGAGAGATTTCCAGGCCACTCTATCATCGAATGCCTTGCTTAGATCTTGCAAACTCAGAGAGGTGGCTTATTTGATTGAGTATATCTATCTGGAATGTGGTCTCCCTCTTTTCCTACTGCCTATCTAGCTGGAGTGATTTGCTGTTTCTCTCTCTCTACCTCTTAATACTTTTACAGCATTGTTAAAGGCAGTCAATGCCTTTTGCCCTGCTGTATGAACATCCTATCACACTTTAAATGTCAACAAAATAATTTTCAGGAGTCATGGCAATGATTTTGTGTTTAGCCCTCTCTCAGTGCATCATGGTGATGAAAAGCAAACAATAAGCTCTTAGGATTCACAAGGTTGCATTCATACTGCAATTATCCTCAAGAGCAGGACTTTACATAGATTAATTCTTATTTGACTAAGACAGTCTGTTGTTCATGGTATGCTGTGGTGAAAAATCTAATAAAAGAATTCATTTTTGTTCATTTTTTTAAAAAAAATTGTGTGGTAATATGCAATTCTGATTTAAAACACCTGTTGATAAACATGTTCCAATACTTTAAACTGGAAATATAAATAAATATAGGGTTGCAAGAATGTTTCCAGCCATGGCCCTTCTATTATGCAGGCTTATGTGAATTGGAGAAACAAAGGGGAACAAACTGTGGATTACTTAGGACTCATTCCCACTTACATTTAAACCAGTTTGCAATTTGTCTTCGCTCTGTGTCAGTGAATCGGTTCCAAAAGGTCTGTCATTCCCACTGTGAAAGCAGATCTTTTCATTATTCCCTTGTAATCACTTCTTTTTTTTTTTTGCACCATTGTCATTCCCACTAGTTTGCACTGTTTCAAAATGCATGTCAATCATCTCTGCGCCATTGGTGACACAAGTGGCAACAAGGTGAGGATGGAGCTGTTCCTCTTTTTTGCAAGCCATCACCAGCCTTGGGGAAAGTTGTGGAGAAGAGAGGAAAATTGAGGGTCTGTATCCTCCTTTTCCCAAGCCATTATTCTTGAGGAACGTTGTGGGGAAGAGAGGAAAATTGCCCACAGGTCACACTGCAAAGCAAAGGCAGCACTGAGGGGGGGGGGG